GTGTCTCCAAGCTGCCCGCCTTGCATCAGAATGTGGAGGGTGTCACAAATTGCCCCTTGATTCTCAGTGTCCTCCAGCCACTACTTCAGCTGCGTACTCCAAGTTGGCTGAGAACCAAGGGAGTCTGGTGTTTAAAGCCTTACTTTTCACACATATACATATATGGTTTTCGATTCTTCCTCACTGGGATCTGCAACCAGCAAAAGGAATGCTTTTGAAACTGGCCATTTTGCAAGCCAGAAAATCTGTGTGTGCGAGGGTGTGTTGTGTGGCAGAAAAAGAAAGGCATGTGGGCTTCTCCCCACTTTCCTTCTGTGTATCTCTGTATATTCCTCAGCTGGCACCATCTTCCACACTGGCTCCTTCTAGGTTGCAAAGTAATGCAGACTGTGGCAAAATATGGATGAAACATTTTCTGAGAAGTCTTAGCAAAATAAATTTTAAAAATCAAAAGAAAAATTGCTAGCTAATCCAATACCTACTAAGAATCTCTACATTCCTCTTTCTGGAAATGGGTCCAAGACAGAGCATCTTGTCACAGCCTGACAGGGCCTGTCCTTCATACTCTTGACTCTAGCCTTGACAGACACTTACTATCCAGGATAACAAATTTATGTATTTCCTGCAGTCTGGGAGTTCCTTCTTGGAGTCAACCAGAATTTAAGAGGGGTGTGTGTGTGTGTCAAAGTTTCTCTCCAAGTCTAGTCTTGACCAACCACTGCAAAAGTCTAGATTGGGAAAACAGTAAGTAATCTGTCAAGGTCATTTGACAGTTTACCTAAATAGTGAAAACTGAGACTGAGAATCAGTTTCCTTTCCCAGCTCAGCAGGTCACTGTAAACCTGTCCGTCCCTTTCTGGGATGTAACTTAGATTCTAATTGCCTCATTCTCACAGATAAGGCTGAGAGAGCACATTTATTGTTCATTACAGACAACACATAGAACAAGGCCTCAGCTGAAGATCTTAACAGTTGGACAGCTTCCTATGGGATCAAGTGGTCCTTAAGACAATCTGGTATCAGACCATTTAGGGCTTTTAAGGTAAGAATCAGTAATTTCCATTGTATTTTAAAACTTCAGTATTGATAAGGTGTATTCTCAATAGGTTTACATGTTTGTCAGACTATTTTCTGTGGTTTCCTGAATCCTTTTGTTACCATTAGTACATGAGCAATTTTTTCCCTGTCAAGTTGCAGCAGCTGACTTAAGGCAACCCCCTAGGGTTTTCAAGGCAAGATACATTCAGAAGTTACATTCAGAAGTAGTTTGATATTGCCTGCCTCTGCATAACAACCCTGGTATTCCTTGGTGGTCTCCCATCCAAATAATGACAAGGGCAGACCCTGCTTAGCTTCCAAGATCTGATGAGACTGGGCTAGCCAGGTCACGGCACATGAGTAAAACTGGTCAATAAATGTATAAGCTCCAGATTTTGCGAAAAATTCGTTCAATCAAGTTCCAGAAATTTGATCATTCATCTCTCAGTCTCCATATTGATTAAACCATACTGCTTGGCATTTTGATCACCCTGCCACTTCACTGCAGCTACAGTGAAGTGTTCCTTTCATTGTATGAATTTAACTATTTGAATCAAACTTCTGATGACTGGGATCAGGTTGTTTCCATGCAATGAGCAATAATTAAAGTAAGCCATTTAGTTAAAAACAACGTTTACAGAGGTCTCTTCATCATGCCATGAGAACAGTAGAAAACAATATGACCATATCAATAAAGAGTTATAACTAAGGATGGGATGTAGTTCCATGGCAACTGGAAAACAGGTTGGAATTATGGCTTCTATTTAATTGGAGTTGAAGCACTTTTAGAACAGGCCCTAGGTTCTTGCTTTCTTGCAGGTTCCTAGCACTGTTCTATAATACATAAAATGTCCTGTGTTATCCCTGGCCCTACAGTGTTCACTACAACAGCTAAGGAAACACCGCTATCCCTCTCAACATGTGGGAGGCCTCAGGCCAAATGAGAGTTCCTTCAGACTGGAGGCCTCTAGTATTCCAAAGGTAAAGCAATATTTCCAGTCTCTTAGTGTATCTTGGAGGCCCTGGATTTCTTCTCCTCTCCACAAAACTTCATAGGAGAACCTAATGGTTTTTTACTCACCACTAGTTATTACACAAATGCAAGATTGTTTTACACCTTCTTTGTGTTTGTGAATTTCTGAGGCAACTACAAACTACAGAGATTCTTCTATTCAAGAACATGAGGCAAAGTATACATGCATTCAAAAGGCAGAATTTCTGATTTTGATCTATACATTTTTATCATGATCCTTAAGCCAAAAATTTAGCAGTTTGTTACCTTTATTCATTTTTCTTTTGTTTTTTTCTACCTGTCAAGATACTTCTTTATGTAGCTCACTGGTTTCCTGGTTTTACGTCTGCATTCCCTTTGCTAATTAAACCTGCAGTCACAGCTCTGAGGATACCTTCTGCATTCCGCTCAAAGTTTAGCTTCCTAGTTCTTACCTTTAAAAGCTGTTTGGCTTTTGGTCCCTTATTTTGTCTCAGTTCATATGCACACATGAAACTGCTTTATGCTGAGTTGGAGCCAAAACTGCCACTCTGATGGTGGAATGACACTTCCAGAGGGAAGGGTGATTTCCTTCCTCCTACTTTAGAACCTGACCCTCCCACACACACACACACTAGGGTTGCCAGGTCCCCTTGGATGATGGTCCCCTTGCACAATGTCCCCAATGCGATACGTCACACAAAAGTGATATTACCACATCAGGGACGTCATGCGGCAACACACTGCATTTTGGGCAAAACTCTATGGGTTTTTTTTGCCTAAAACCATAGTGTTTGGCCCAAAAAGCAGAGCATCGTCGTGTGATGTCTTGATGTGATGACTTCACTTCAACTTCCTGCTTATGGGCGGGGCTTCCCTTGCTAGCCAGCTGGCTGGCAGTGGGCAGAAGCCTGAAAAATCAGGGGAACCCGCCGGCGGACCAGGAGTCTGGAAACCCTAACACACACAGTGAGTGCACTATTGACCACAGGAACACAATTTCAGGTGGCTCAGTGAGCTGAAAGCAGAAGGGGAGGCAAGCGAACACCTCTCTGCTAGCTTCATTCTGTTGGCCTTGTAGTGGATCTAGTCCACTGAGCCACATCATTGGTCCATCTAGCTCACTACTGACTGCTCCACCAGGCAGAAGTTCTAGGATCTGAAGCAGAGAATGGTTTTTCCCAGAACTTGCTATCTGAGGTCCTTTAACTGGAGGATAGCAGAGGTTGGGACTTTAAGCTTGGAACCGATTCCACCTACTTTATGTGCTCTACCACAGAGCTAAACTAATCTGTGAGTTCTGTTCCCTTTACTTTTCTCTCAGCTCACTTCCTACTAGATGATTTGTTGTCAGTTCTTATAATTTCTTTTCCCTGTTTTCAGCTTTTTAATATCCATTCCATTTCCTAGAAAGAGTATGAATCCTCAAAAGTACTTCTTCCACAAGGCCTTTTCCATTACAGTTTTATTAGGACATACTTAGGGCCAAAATAAACAAACTGGATCTGATATTCTGCATAAAATGGGAAATAAGCACTCCTAGGACATTTTGGCTAAGGAGAATGACATGGGAGGAAGTCATGAACCATTCCACCCTCCCCTCCCCACCCTGTGCTGCAGGTGAGCCAAATAGAGTTCTTGAATGGTTAGAAAAGTCTTGTGTAATTTGGCTCCTAGAGCTAAACAATTGATAGTACTAATGATTTATCTCGCAGAATTTGGGGTTCAATGAGCCTGGGCCTTTCTGTTTTTCTATGCTATGTAGGCTTTGCTATAACTGACTTTGGTTTCTTGGTTCAGAAGTCCCATAAGCCTTTGCTCTTTTGCTGGCAGCCTAGGCATAAAACTAAAGCCTTGCCCTGTAGATGTACCTTTGCCTGAATTCACATGTCATGGCCTTCAAAGCCTAAACATATCTGTCTAAGTCTTTTTGACATAACAGTTAAAAATATATCTAGGCAAAAGTTCATCTTATCAACTTAGGATGGTTTGGTATTTGGCAAGTTTGGTACAGTGTAATTAACTCCTCCCTTGATTCCTATTGGCTGAAAGGAGTTTAAAAAGGATGCTTTGGGCTTTCTTCGGGGCTGTTTGGCCAACATGCCACCTAGGCTTGAGTGAGGTCTTGATCCACAGTCCAGGAATTCCTTGTTCTTTTTGAAGTGTACACTATATCAGTTATTGGAGGTTTTCTATATGCTATTGGGTATTGATATTGAATATATGCTATTGAGTTTTACTTATGTATGGTTTCAGAGTCAATAAGTACTTTCCATTTAAGGCAACTGTTCTCTCGGTGTTTCTCTCCCTCTGGAGACCTGAGTTCCCTAGCCAGACTCCACCCACCCACAGAAAAGAACCCTAATGAGGTTGGGGATCCCTGGAAGAGGCCTGGACCCCTAAAATTCCTCGACAATTTACAAGAAGCTGGTACCCTTGGATACATTTTCTTTTTAATTTTGCTTTCTTTAGGCAATGAAAATGCTTTTCAAAGTAGTTACCACTTGCGAGATGCTCCAGGTATGTGAACCCAGTCCTCAGCACATATGTATAAGCAGCACTGATATTTTTATTTTGAAAATAGCATACGATTTATGCCAAGGACACATCTGACAATTGCCTTGTTCCTACTTCTTTATGAACTTGGTAAGGGTTAAGTGTGTGCACTTGACTCTTCTTCTGTAAAACACTTCCAGGGAAAGCCTAAAGCAGATTAAAATGTGTCAGAAACTTCAAAGCAGAACACTGTTCTTTCAAAGAGATTTTCGTGTTGCACACACAAAAAAAATGGAGCACTGCAAGCGATCCTTGACTGCACAACAGAGATGCAATTTGATAAATAGCTTCCCAATGTTCAAGGCCAGAATTGTGAGAAACCATACCATCAGCACTTTCATCCATTGGCTCACCACCTATCCCATTTTATTGCAACTTCTTCAGCCTATTAATGATACAAAAGTACATTTCTTACCACTTAAAGGAGATGCCACACATTCTGCTGGTAAAGGGTCACTTTCATTTTCTTTAGAAACACTAGGGATATTTTCTTTTTCAAGCAATCTATCCACCATCGCAATAATGCAGTTTAAACTTTTTCCTACATTGGTCCATACCCTGTCCTGAAAAAAAGAAGCATCCACATCACTACTCAGTATTAGAAGATACATTAAAAGGCATATGGATTAATCATCAGACTTTTTGCATTGGACAGCCAGGCTTGGCGGGAAAAATGCTGAAAGTAGTGAAGCACAGTGAGGAGATGGGGGGGGGGAGGAGGGATTAGTTCATTCTGTCCACATATCCTGCCTGAGAATACTGGGAAGAGAAGAAAAGGTTCACTCACATGCCAGTTCACATCTCTGCAAGTGAAAAGTTTAATTACCTGTATCACAGGAAACGCTTTTCCCTATCTTCTTGAAATTGGAAAGGATAATTTTTGGGTAAAGGGGACAACCTCTGAGATTATACAATCTAAACTATCCAGTAAAAATACTTTGAATTGAAAGGGGAGGAACTGTGGCTCAGTGGTAGAGCATCTGCCTGGCATGCAGAAGGTCCCAGGTTCTGCCGGGCATCTCCAATGGAAAGGATCAGGTAGCAGGTGACATGAAAGATATCTAATTTAGACCCTGGAGAGCTACTACCAGTCTGAGTAGACAACAGTGACCATCATGGACCAAAGGTCTGATTCAGTATAAGGTAGCTTCATGTGTGTTAATGTTTATATGTATGTGTGTGAAGCATCTAAGTATACTACTTTGTTTTCAAGAAAGAACACTGTACTAGAGCAATTACAAAATAATAATATGTTGGCAGAAGTGACCACTTATTGCCTGAACAGCTCATGCCTGTCCTTATGTATTTATTTATCAAATTTATACCCCGCCCTCCCAGCTGAAGCCTACCGACTTACTTGCACTGCTATGTGTTAGACATGTAGCAATCGGGGGAAAACAGATGTGGGCTTTGCTTTAGAACTTTAGAACTCAGAAAATTATTACAGTGACGATGAACATTTAAAATAGGTTGTATAAAATATTAAATTTTAGTAGTTGCGAAATGATAATGTAACACTTGTAAATAAAAACATATGTACCCTGAATAGTTGCTGAACTCACAAAACTAAAAGATGTTTCTTTGCGGTAACACAAAATTACCCATTATCCAGTTGTACTGAATACAAATCATTTAAAACATGTATCCAGTCCATTCTCATGTGCCTAACTACAGCACATCAAAATTAATTTCTTTCTGCTATGGCTCATTGGAAAAACAAAAGAATAAGCTACAGTTGTCCAATATATTTTGTGACTATCTGGATTAAGTAAAAAATCATATTCAGTAAAAATATAAAAATATGAAAAAATTAACTTTTCCTTGATTTATGCCTTATGACACAAAGTTGTAATGGATAGAGGCATTATTAGTATTAGTCATTCACAGGGGGATTTATTAGCTTTACAACAGTGCTTTACAATTTGAAAGTGGCCACTTACTTCACATATTTTAGCTCAAATTAGAAAAAGCAGGGGAAATTAGGTTTGGCCCCTTTGATGATATCATAAAAAGCATAAGGTACCAATCAGAATGTGTTATCACATCAAAACATAATACAGAGACATACACCTTTCAGGAAAAAAAAGCATACAGGAGTTTTGCCACCTTACCTGATACAGATATCCGGTCTGGCTCACAAGGACTTAAATGTTCCAGTTGCCCAAAGAAATAATTCTGAATTGTACAGCATCTGCGTTTTTATACTAAGCTACTTTCCTGCATATTGTCCTTCTGTAAATAACTTTATTTCTGCTATGTCTGTATACTGTTTTCAATGGCTGATGATTCACGTATTTTCTAGGGTATCTGAATGATTTACTTCACCTATAACAAAGACTTGGCGAACAGCTTCCAATATGAACAACAGTCTAATCAATTGTGTATCTCAAAAGAGAAAATAAGAACTAATGTGATTTTAGCTGAAAAAGCATGAAGCGCTGAATAACTGACTTTCTGTAGGGTCAGAAAACCAAGATAAACATGTAACTATTGTTTAAAAAAACCTAAACTCCCATTCTGCCTCCCTAGGGTTGCCAAGTCTATTTACCTTGGCAGCGGGGGACCCTCGCCGGGCTCCGGGAGCCGTAGGTGGATGCGCGCTCACGCGCCGCCAGCACATCCCGAAAGTGACAGGCTATGTCGATCACGTTGAAGGCGTGGCCTCGATCGTCGGAGGGAAAACCATAGAGTTTTCCCTCCAACAATCGGGGCCACGCCCCGAACATGATCAACGGTTGCGTCATCTCTGGTGACGCAGCCACGCTGCGCTTCGGGGGGCAGAGTTCCCCCCGAGGCCTGATTCTGCGGCGGTGAAAATCGGGCCTCCAAAGCGGGGGTTTACCCGCCCCCACTTGGCAGCCCTATGCCTCCCTTAAAATAAAACCTGATCTACCCTACCTTAAGAAATTCCTAGCAATACACTTTCTGTGTCCCAGTTCTATAAATGCTAACAGGTTTATCTGAATTCCACTGCAATATCATGGTAGCAAATCAAACATGAATTTGCCTTTGTTCCAGGGTTGATTTGATCTTATTTGATCTTTTATTACTAAAACACAACAACCAGCTTGTGATAAAAGACCCCAGTTAAGATTCTAATTAATTTTAAATAGGACAGTATAGATCAGATGTAGATGTGGTGCCCATGGGCACCATGGTACTTTTCCTGGCATCTGCCAAATGTTTGTAGAAAATGGGCAGGGTCAGGTGGTGTCTCTGCCCAGCAAGGCTTCTGATTGACCACTGGAGATTTGATTGGCTATGCAGATTTTTAAAGTTTTGCTTTTTAAGCAGCTCCCACCACAGCTCAAGGAGCTTCACTATATGATTGAAAGTAAAACATGGCATCCATTTTGTGGCTGGCTCTGCCTCCTGTGGCAGCTATTTTGTGGCTGGGCCCACCATGCTACATCAGAATTCCAAAGGTGCCCACAGCCTCAAAAGGGTTGGGGACCTACAGATCTTTATAAGCACGCAGATGTAAGTAATGGAGAACCAAACTGGCCATTCAATTGCACCAGAACCCATAAAATTTTATAAAGTTTCAAGCATCACAAAGCTCTTCCTCTTACCAAAAAATAGCATCTATAAAAGAGATAGGAAAAACTTGTATTTGTCTGTTTGCAAAAAAGATAGATGGCTGACAGAGATCTGAATTCACACTATAAACATGTTTCAAATTTGAATCCAAAATCCAAATTGGCCCAATTGGCAGCCTGCATTTTTACTGTGACAGCAGAAACATTTTGGTAGGTCTAATATTAGGAGGGCTGATTCTCGTCACATATTCATTTATGTTAGGCAATTAACTTCACTGGAGGTATTCCCAATTTACACTGATAACTACTGAGATATACTGGGACATGGGCCAAGCTTCACTGTCATATTTTATGCAAGTCTCTCTGTGGTTCAGAATAGCAGTGATGAGATCCAGCCTCCCCACTCTCTTTCTGCTTTCTGATTCACTGGTGGGAGAGGTTTCCCCCCTTTAAACCATTACATTTCCATGACTGTAAGATTTAAAATAGGATCACCATACGATGCAGTCAAGACGGGTATTTTTCTTTTCTATGGGAAACTGAGATTCAATGTTGGGGCACTTAAGTTCTGAATTGCTATTATGGAACTAGTGGTAGCACTGGCAGACATTCAAGCTCAACTAAATTATCCCCACTGCTCTGGAACAAAGGCCTTTCTCCCCCCTGAACTGACTACACCAGCCTTCTTGTTTCCGCTGTCTCACTCTTTGCTCCTACCCACCTGTATGCTTATGTCTCCCAGAAAGCTGAGATGTCCCTCAGATAAAGTTTAAGCACCTTCCTGATATAGAAAAGTATTTATGTATGTACTTTATGTAGGCTCCACCTTTCTCCACAATGGAAACCCAAAGTGGCTTACATTGCCCTCTGTTCTTCCATTTTATCCCCACAATAGCCATGTGAGTGGGGATCCAGTTTCAGCAAATGCAATATTTATTATTTTTTAATATGATGACATAGATTTTTTCCTCAATTTATAAAAGATTTTGAAATACCTAGTTTTTTTGGGTTTTTTTAAATGGATTTGAACAAGCAGAGCCTGTCCAATGAGTGCAGTGTTTCCCTATTTGTTTACTGTTACTCAAATAGCGCAGTGATACCAGCCATGTTAACCAGCTAGAAATATAAAGCGATGCCTTCCAAGTGGCACTCTGCCCAACTTACTCTTGCATTATGTATGCCATGACTTTTTATCCTCCCTGAAGGGAGGCTTTAGAATGATAGAAGCAGCTGGCAAGCGGAAATGGGAGCAGCTATTCAGAGACAATCTGTAACCATCAGTTGAAATACTTTCTTTACAAATGTAGCATTGCATTGGTGCTGCATATGAATATTACTATGAATTACACTTCTCTCAGTAGCTTAATCTATATTGATCTTAACTGCCTGTCAGTATTTGTAACGTATATCATTATGGTACACAACTCAACTTCCAGTATGAACTGTTAACTCATTGTAAACTTGCAAGGGAAGCCTCACCCCAATCTGGATACGGGATTATTATTCTACCACAATACTTCTCTCCCACGCAGTCAACAAGAGAGTGCGAAAGGTAGTAATGGGATACAATCTCAAAAACGACAGAATGATCTCGGTCTGAATCCAAGGCAAACCATTCAACATCACAGTAATCCAAGTCTATGCCCCAACCACTGACACAGAAGAGGCTGAAGTGGACTGGTTCTATGAAGACCTACAACACTTCCTAGAACTAACACCAAAAAAAGATGTCCTCATCATCATAGGGGTCTGGAATGCTAAAGTAGGAAGCCAAAAGGTAACCGGGATAATGGACAAGTTTGGAGAACAAAATGAACCTGGGCAAAGGCTAACAAAGTTTTATCAAGAGAACACGCTGGTCATAGCGAACACCCTCTTCCAACAACCTAAGAGGCGACTCTACACATGGACTCTACACCAGATGGGCAACACTGAAATCAGATTGATTATATCATTTGCAGTCAAAGATGGAGAAGCTCTATACAGTCAGTAAAAACAAGACCTGGAGCTGACTGTGGCTCAGC